GAACGATCTGACTTGTCATACTAAAATCTACCATTGTCAACCTTCACTACCTAATATCTCACCATTCATATTGTCAGATTTGTCTTTTTTTCCTAATAACATAAGACATTAAAGATTTTTCAACTTATTTTAGAGTTATTGTATCCTTTTCACATAGTATCTATCATCTTAGTAAAGTTGACATAGAAGTGAACAAGTGATGTAAGAAGCAATAAAACCTTATCTTCTTTATCAATTTTTATATCAATTTTTTAATTAATCAAATATTCCATGTTCAAATGCTTTATCAAGTCTTCGTCTTCCTCCATCATAATTTATATAACCTTCGCTTTAGATATAACTTGTTAATTAAATTTTTTATAAATAAAAAGTTTCTAACTTTCTCAAAAAACTTATCCGAGCCATCATTAATAATATTATTGATAATATTATCAATAATACAAAGATGAATAGTATTCACACACCTGAAGCTCTTTTCAACAAGAATATCTGTCATTCACCCTTCTTTACCATAGAGTGAAACTAATTTTTTCCATCAAATTTTTTCATAGTAAAATCAACAGAAACAACCGATAATATTCTTGTTAAATCTTTAATCACCGGATCTTTTAGGTTTTGATGTCACTTTGTTTTGTTGAGGAGGAGAATTCCAAAACCAAAAGAAAATATCTAAAGATCAATAAAAGAAAAAAAAATTAACATGATTCAGCAAATCCCATCTACATTCAAGAAAAAAATTAAATTATTTAAAATATGATATCAATTACAATGCTTTTGAATTGTCCTCACTCAAGTAAGGCTTATCTTATTCACCTCCCATATAAACCTGAAAAATCCTCTTAACCCCCTTTTAGAAACCCTAAAAACTATCTAAATGAGTATCCAAAACAGACACGGTATCAATTATTGGCGTAGGAACTCCACCAATAATTGAACATTCATTGTCACGCAGTTGTCATGTCAATGTAAGATACTGATTTACTAAGCTTGCTAATGATGAAGAAGCATTTGAATACCCAAATGGCCCGTCATCTTCTATCGATTGAATAACACGAATAGATGTGTGCTTGCTACCGCACCATCGCATGATGCATCAATTTGAAAGCGTGAACAAGCCCATCAATGTTGACGTTAATAGAAACCTAATATTGAACTACTTAAAGAAAATAATTGTGTTGGATATTTCAAATCTAAATAATGTGATCCTAATAAAAAGCCTCGTGATCAAAGTTTACTGCAAGTGCATCATGTTGTTAAATATTAATTTAATATTTATTAATATGAAATTATTTTATAATCGTTTTTTCAATCTCTTCATAAATATTTTCTTAACATTCAGCACTTACACTTGCTGTGCACCACTTAACGCATCCCATTATGAGAAATGTCACGTCGATTCCTCCTTAATGCGTGCACACCTAACACTTCCCATTATGACATATGTCATGTCGATTCCTCCTAAATGGTGGTGTGGCTCCTCCTTTATGGTAGTGAGGCTCGAAGACAAGAGGTGAAGCCGTGAAGAAGATTAGCTTTTTAGTTGTTGGCACGTAGAAAGGCCGACGAAAGTTTGCTACTATGTTTTTGCTTCTCTTTTTCGAGAGCACAGAATTAGTATATTAAAATTAGCCATCGGGTCCAAATCATATGAAACTTACAATTCGAAGGTATTTCTCTCACCTTATATATATATATATATTACGTATGTACTGATTTTAGAGGCATGAGAGTTTTGATATATTTTGAATGTGTTTGATTCCTTGTTGTAGTCCTTTACACTGTGATCTGGGGTTGGTATAGTTTGGTTCAATCTCGATTGTGTTAGGGTGTTCACTAGACGTTTTAAGATAGAAATAAGGGTGAGGTCGGAGTAACAATGGGCATCTCTTGGTCCAGCCTAGGAGGAGTTGAGATTGCCTCTGGCGTTAGTTCTCTGCACAACAGGTCAATACCAAGAGGGGGATTCTCGGCTCGATCCCTTTGAATCTTAGGTTAGTTTTTTTTTTTATGGTAGCATTGAGTATTTTAGATCTGGCCCCCAGCGTTAACCGAGGGTTGGGTTTGTACCTCACCCCAAGGGTCGATCGTACGTAAGTTGTTAATGATCATTGATATTTTAGACGGTATGTTCGTTTGCCCCGGACGACATGGGTTGACTGTTCTGGCTCCGTGCCGTTTGGAGCTGCTTTGTACGATCTCAAGGATAACTATGCATCGTTCCCGAATCCACTGCATTGCTTTGAGTCTGCTACATCGCTTCGAGATCGTGCCATGCATGCGTGTCACATCAACTCTGAGATGTCACGTTGGTTCCGATGTGGTTGTCGATTATCGCTATGGGGTGATACAGAAATATTCCCTATCAATTCCTAATTATATAAAAAAGAAATTTAACAATGTACTAATTAGTCTAATATATAAAGACAATTAGATATGTATTTTTTGAGAAAAAAAATGACTCTTTCAAGTATATTATTTTTTTGCTTTTATCGACAAAGCTTCTTTTGTATTCTAATTCTTGAGTAATGTCTTTTTTAAGATTTTTTTTGAAATCTAAATACATAATATAATGTATAATTTGCCCGCATATGGATAACATGATGCCTCTAATTCATGAGGAGAAGACTCGAAGAACCAATCCAATGTTTGCTTGACCCAACCCAACCCAACTCGTGTGACTAACGATGCATGGACCTCCACGATCGCGTCGGTCCAAATCTAACACGTAAATACATGTTAGATTCATAAACAAAAAATAATAATATAAGTATGAAAGCGATTAATCAAAGAATAATATAAATATCATGAATGCGAATTCTAAACCAAAGGATCCATTGGACAACTGGTAAGTAGACAGAGACAAAAGATATGACAAATAAGTTTGTAGCTTGATAGAGATTTTATAGATATGACAAATAATTTACGGGTTTCCACCCGTAAATTAATGACTCATATTTTAATCATCTATCAAATATACACCTACCAAAATATTATTCCTTGGAGTTCATTGCATGCCACCTACCAAAATATTAATTGGATTGGACCTCGGCTGGTGCTCCATTGCACCCAAAATTGCTCCTTTCCAAAACAATATTCCTTGAATGTAACGTAAGTATTGTTTGGTAAGATTATATTTCTAAAGTCTATTAGATATTATATGATAAATTTATCATTCTAATATTTTTTTATTATTTATTTAAAAAGTATATATATATATATATATATATATATATATATATATAAATGAATGAATGAATGTATATAATAAATAAATAGTATAATCATATAAATAAACAAAAAAATAATTTTTTTTAAAATAAATAAATACATTTTTAACTTATAGAAGACATAAATCATATTGATTCTTAATTAAATACTTTTGGTGATATTATGATTTTAGATAATATCATAATATACTTTAATTTTTTTTTAAAAAATATTAAAGTTCCACAAATATCAAAATACATATGTATGTTATCTTGAGATAGTATTAGCATCTAACATTTATAATACAACATTTTTGTCAACTCCAACTTAAGAAATATGTATTTAATATTAATTCATATTTAAAATATACATTCTATGATTTCTTAGATCTTAACTTCTTGACATAGGTATCGAGTTGCGATTAATTATCGAGCATCACTTTTGAGTGCTCTACACAGAACATAACGAATGCTCAATGGAACAAGTAAAGTTGTTTCGAGCCAAAGATCGATAGTACCTTTTGGCAACATAATGAAAGACGAACTTTTGCATAATGTAAGTGATGAATGAGAGTTTGCCCACTAAGACACGAAGATTGGTAATGGATACCATCAACAAAAAGTAAGCATAAGAAAATTAAAGTAAAAAGACAAAAGTTTTACAGATATTTTATAGCCAACTAATTGGGTAATATTTTATAGACAAAAGTCACGAGGAAGGCTCCTCTAATAATTATTTGGGTAATATTTTAATTATCTACCAAATGCACATCTAATGAAAGAAGAGGCATCGAAATGAAAGCCCAAAAAGTTCATGCACATCTACCACAGGTGCAGCCCATAAGCATGAGGAATTATTTGCTTTGAGCGATTTGGATCGAGTGTCCAAGGATTTTATCCTTTCGGAGCTTGTGAACTTCAAAAGACATATTGGAGGGTAATAAAGACCCAGCAGACTTATGAGCCTTTGGTTCCCATACTCCTCAATCAACATGGGACTAAATGATCTTATCAACTTCCATTGTTATAACTTTTTTCCGGTTAATACATTTGAACTTCAGAAACGAGAAATACAAATAAAAAGTAAATATGAAATAGATTAATCAAAGGTTTATCGAGTAATAAAGTTTACTTAGCCCACCAAAAGTAGAGACTAATGATAAATATCACTAGTAAGAATTCTAATTTGTATGACATTTGATATTTTTTTTTCGGATCATCCTTGATGTCAAAATTTTTCTACAAAAGTGTAGCTTTTTTTTACTGTTTCGGTGCATATTGATGAATAGCTGACTTAGATAAAATTAAGTGACCTAATAACCATGAATTATTTTTTTAATAGTCCTACAGCTTTTAAGGTAAATTTTTTTTTTTTTTTAATAATTTTATAGTGTTTCGATCCATCGTGATCAGCAATCATAAAAATAACTATCAAGACAGATCATTTGACACATTTAAGAGATGAAAATATTGAGAGAAAAACAAGTAATCGAATCATCATCATTTATGAATTATTTCGTGGTGGGTCAGCAATCGACAGCCAAATCGATGTCTACTTATGAATGTGTACATTCCCGGTGGGCCTCACGACACATTAAATCAAGATTTGGTGCCATGCGGTTGGCGATGGCAGCTGCAGCTCCCAATCAATCGGGTCGGCAGCTACGCGATCGCCTGATGGAAATGGTTAGTGCGCGAGCATCATTTCTGGGTCCCACCGGAGTCGAAACATCACGGGCGACCTCCTCCGTGATTGCCAACCCTGGTGGGGCCCGACCCCCAACATGCAGTCAGTCTGCCACCAACCCAATCCACCTAATCCTTTATTATTAACACGTCATCGATAAGCTTGTCTTCTTATAACAAACACATTTGTGAACAGCAGCAACCTCCACCAATCAAATAAAGCGAATCAACGGGGCTGTGGTAAAGAATCGGGGCCGTCCGATCCCATCATCATTCACGACGGCACCTGGATCGCCGGAATCTGAGCCGTCGGTTCTTGAGGTCGAACTCCCACATGTGCTCCTGCTGCAGGATGTTGCCGATGGTGGACACGCCCGGCCACGGCGCCATCGCGATCCCCAGGCACTTCACCCCGTCCGCCACGTCGATCACGTAGCTCTTCGCTGGCGGCTCCAGCGCCGCCGACCCGGCCAGGTGGACCACCATTCGCGGCAGCTTGCGCTGTCCGCCCGCGGCTGTCCAGTTGTAGCAGTAGTCGAAGGGGTCCACGCTCACCCTGGGGATCCCCTCCAGCCGCCGGCTCAGCGCCGACGCCACCGCCCGGTACGCCGGCTCCGCTAGCACTGTCAGGCTCGTCCCGGAGTCGAGGATGGCTCCGCCGCCCGCGCCGACGTCCCACACGATCCTCGGGATAGCCAGCAGCTCCCCGTCCACGGAGATGCCGTCGACGCCGACGGTGTAGAAGGGTTCGAGGTCGAGGACGAGCGCCGTCTCGCGGGGAGGCGGCGAGGGGAGGGCGGCCGCGTTGGGACCGAAGGTGAGGAAGCTGGAGGCGTTACGGGGGCTGAGGTGGTCCACGAGGCAGTAGGAGAAGCGGCCCTTGAAGCGAGCGGTGGCGCGCCCCGCGAAGGAGATGTCGCTGTAGCCGAGGCCCAGCACGCCGTCCGCGGCCGAGAAGCTGGACCCCGCGGAGGTGGACGTGCAGCCCACCACCAACCCCCGCAGCTTCGCGCGCCGGCCGTTGGATAGGATGATGGTCGCCTTCTCGTTCGCGAAGACGCCCTGGGCCGTCGATCCGTCCGAGTACCTGCGACGGCCATCATCGCATCAAATTAATCGCCCCACACCTTCGCCTTGCATGCAAATGGATCATCGCGCATTGATTGCCATATTAAAAGCCTGGATTCCAAGCGTACGGCTCTTAAATATGAGATCACTCCTCCTTTCACGGTGTGAAGCACAAATTAAACGCTGATGAGAAGCAAGTAATGTGCGGATTCTTAAACATTCCGCTGCGTCAGACATGATAAATGATGCTCGAAAAACCAGTATAAAATGCAGCATCAAGGAAAGACGAAGCACGAGTCATCGAAACTAAAACTTGGCTCCTAATCCTTGCGGCATTCATGAGCCCCGGCTAACGTCTGCCTACCACAGCTCGCGATGGTTGTCGGGACCCCGTACAATCTCCTTTTTCTAGTAGCCAAAATCCCAAGAAATCCCTACACAGCCAGCTCAGGGTTGCCCCACTGATAAACTAGACGACAATGAATGCAATAAAAAGAAGTTCTTGTCTTTGCCATTTAGGAAGCTGTAGTTTCTTCCTCTCATCTCAGTCTCGTGTTCTGGGAAAGAACCACCAATCCGATCCCGTTTTCTATGTTCTTACATCCGAATGCTACTACAACGCATAAACTATGTTGGGAAAAGAAGAATAATAACTGCATGACTCGATTCACGTAGGAAGAGAAGATGCAAATTGTTTAAAGACGGTAGATCGGAGGATCCAATGGTACGTTACCCGTAGTCGTAAGCACATGGGCTCGCCGGCGTCGGGCACGTAGTCAACGAGAAGGGTAGCGAAGTCTTGCACATGTCCGACGAGCACGGGATGGGCTTGAAGGAGGAGGACACGTCGGAGCGGAAGTCGCGGGTCCCGTTGCCGCCGCCGCGGCACCCAGGCGGGCGCAGCCGGCACTTGACCCACGTGAGGTCGCTCCCCGTATCCATTACCAGCAGGAACCGCTGCGCCGGCGTGCCGAGGAGGAACCGCACGAAGTACTGTCCCGTGCCTGAGTACGCGCCGGACTTGAGAGGCATTTTGAAGGAGTCCGCCGCCGGTGCCGGCACGGACGACCCGTTCTTGGAGGGCGGCGAGACGTCGCACGCCCTCCGCCGGTGGCGGCCCCGCTGGATCCGGTCGTGGATCATCCGCTGCCGGAGCCGGTCGCTGCGGAAGAGCTCCTGCACGTGTTCCAGCCGGGAGCCGCCGCTCGGTGCGGGGTGGCGGACGAGCTCGAGGCGGACGGGACTCGAATGCTCTCCAGCGGCTGCGATGAGGAAGCCATGATAGCAGAGGAGGAGGAGGAGGAGGAGGAGCTGAGGAGGCATTGGAGTTTTGGCGCCTCCAGCTCGTGATCAAGGATGCCCAAGTACAGGAAGATGGTAGAATAGATACCGATATATGGGGCCAGTGTACAGCAGCTAGAGAAGCTCCACCAATTTACCCTCTCCCTCTCTCTCCCCACACGCACTTGACTTGCCTTCTTCGGGCCTGTCAACTTCGCTCCCTTGAGCTTTATCTACCGTGATCCAATCTGTATATATGAAGCTTGTCGTTGAAGAAAGTGCCGCAATTTTTTGTCTTCTGAAGCTTCTTTGTGCTTGGAAGTTAGGACTTCGTAAACCATGCTTGGAAGAATAAACAACAGAGTTGTTATATTCACTCCTCAAGTTCTGTCGCCTCTCTCTCTCTTTACCAGCGGTACTTTTCAATGCGATTGGGATTCACCCGAGGAGACGGCGGTGTGCGTTTAGCACTATGCATTAGTAAAAGGGCGACGCGCTCCTCTGACCTACGTGATGATTGGGGAGTGGAATTCTAAACCACACAATAAAAGAGATATAATGGGAAGAGGGGGAGGTGTGACGTGATGCGCAGCACAATAATGGCTACAGTGGCGGGCAGCATTAAACCGATCATGCTTCACATCGCGACGGCGATACATGGTTTCGCTTCACGGCGATTGCGTGTGGACGGAGGGCTTGATGAGTGCACGCCTTCTTAATCACCATCTTCCCTGTGGAAACGCATTAAGACATGACGGCCTCCATTGCCACGTCGTTTCCATATCTTTCGTGAACCCCACTTGCTGCTGGTTTATCGTGGCTTCGATCATCATCATCATCGTCGTCGTCCAATGTGATCCGAATCGAACTACAGTTCCGACATCGTCCCAGTTCACGGTTCCTCTCTGCCGCTGTGTCTGTGTGCATGTCATTAATACTCCTTGTGATGCAGAATCAGGTCAAACCTGGAACCTAAGCCACTTGCGTTTTGTTTAGGGGGCGTATAATTATTACCGCGAGGGGTTTGCATGGAAGGTTCGGCGGACACGGTTGTGTTTGACCAGGGGGTGGGTGGTAGCACAGCTCCATAGCTGGCGAGCAGTAATGTGGCCCGGGTTCATCAAGTCTACCCTCACATGGGAGGAAGGCGGAGAACGGTGTCGATTCCACCCCGCTACGGCGTCGCAGGGGCCGCACGATAGCTGCGATGTGTGTGGTACAGCCATGGCGCGCGGGGCCCGCCCGTGTTGCTGGCCTGGGGCGGTGGTCATCGCCGCACTTCGTGGGGCCCTCCTGTGGTGCAGCGATGTCACCGCTGTGGCTGAGTTGGGTCGCTGTTGCGGAACGGAAGTCCGAAGTCCATAGTGAGGATCGACGTCGGCTTTGGCCAGTCTTCTACGCAAGGCGAAGAATGACTTGACCATTTGTTCTCTTAATCTGTTGGTCTGTCATCGTCTTGCTTCGAACCAAAATCTAGGATTTGGATCCTCGCCCAGATCATCTTTTCGGATCTCGGATCCTACACGATGGCATTCGAGGATCCAAATGCAGTTAAATTCCGTGGAAGTTGGTCGTTGGGCTTCGGCCAATTTAACGCCACACCAAACCGGATGGCGCATTGATGAGGCAGTATCGGTTTGTGTGAGTTCGAAGAGGCGGACAGTGCGCGCGTTTACCGCTTCGCCACTTGCCATCTCGACGCAACGTTGGTGCGGAGACGACCAGGATGGCCCCACCACTGACGCACTTGGTATGATCTTAAATGGGATGGAGACGGGCCGTGCCATTTGCCTCCTGTGCTTCCTGGACTTGCTCGGGCAATCGGAGACGGAAGCAAAGTGCCTCCATGGACACGTACACGTACACGTACGTACCACTGCAGACACCGAGGGATGGGTACCGGAGAGTTATATGTTGGGCTGGCAGAATCGGGCCCTTAACCATTCACATCTCGGCCCCAATCTCGCCGAACGGCAAGAACAATTCTTGAAAACCCTACGAGCCGGGAGGGTTTCTGTTACCGTTTGAAGCACCGAAACAAAGTCCCCTCCTCTTCCGCCTCCTCGGGGTCTCTTTCGCCGTCGCCAAGAACCAACACAAGAGGAAGGAGACATCTCCTCCCCGCCCACGATGGTCAGCCAAGACGCCCTCAACCTTGCCGTCAGCCTCATGACCTCCCACTTTGGCGATCTTGTCGCCGTAAGCCCTCCCTCCCCGTCGCTTCAATTCATCCCCCTTCTCCCTCTCTTTGTCTTCTCACACCCATCTCTATCTGTCTGGTCTGATCGGTGCAGAAGGTGTGCGGTTGCCTCCTGCAGGGAGGAACCCTCTCGCTCCAAGAAATCGTCCGCTGCACCGAGCTCTCCAACTCCCAGGTGAAGAATGGCCTCCTCGTCCTCATCCAGCACAACTGCGTCCAGGCATTCTCCGTTCCCAAGCAAGGTGACCGCTACTTTTCCCTTCCCTCTCCCTTCTCCTCCTCCTCCAACTTATTATAGCAGAGATGATTCTCGGTCTTTGTTCTGATTCCTGGGCAGCGGGGGCGGGAGGGGCGACCAAGTCGCTGACGCAGTACATGGCGCTCTTTGACAACATCCTCCACCGGATGCGTTTCACCAAGTTCTTGGCCATCGTCAGGGACGATCTTGGCCCTCAGGTCAGCTTTTTCTTGTCCCTGCTGTCATCAGATTGAATCTATACTTTATGTTTGATCCGTGTACATGCGGATTTCTTGGCCGATGGATGAATTGCTACTACTGAACTGTTTTACTGCATTATTACGCTAACCTCAAATGGTTTCCGAAATTAAAATTCTTTGTCCCTGTTTAGACTATTTTATGCATCGCTTATTAGTCCAGTCCTCATTTTATTTGTGCGTATGAATCCTCACTAGTTTGTGGAGGCCGTTGTTTATTGGATTAAATTTTTGTGCAACACAGATGAATCAGGCATTCATTTCAATAAATGGAAGTGACACTCCTTTTATGTACTTCTTGTAGTGTGAAACTCTTCTTGAGGGTTTGTTGCAACATGGTAGGCTGACTTTTGATCAGCTTGTGGTACGAGCAACTTCAAAACAATCGGAAGGTAGGGTAACTATCTCCACTGATGTTCATTACTTCTTATCTTTTGATAGGTAGTTATTATTTTTATGTTGAAAATTTGCTGGAACCAAATTGGCATTCAGTTTGGTGAATATTTAAATTGTGATGTATCCTCCACAGACAGTTCAAGTATTCGGGATGTTTTGCGAAAGAACTTGGAAAGGCTTGTACATGGACAATATGTTGAACGTTGTCCAAGGCCTGAACCCTTCATTGCACCTACTTCAGAAGAAGGAACTGCTTCGGCTAGAAGACGCAGTGCTAAGATAAGTTGAAAGTGTAAACTGTTTCATATCTGCATCTATCGAGCCTTGTGTTATGACTTTGATATGAAATCAAAATTAATGTCCTGTTTAGACTACTTCCAGTTCTATATCTTGCTAATTAGAGGGTATATCTTTTCAATTCCTAGATAATATGAATACTTGACATGGAGGAACAATTGTTATATATATATATATATACATATATTTTGCAGTATTTGGTGATGGTTGGTGGTCTTTTTGAGAGGAGAAATAGAGAATAACTTGATTTTTTTCAAAAGTGGAGGTATTTTTGAGTGGTTAAGCAATATAGTTTATTTGGCTGAATGGCGTGAGAGTTATTGAATCTTAAAGAAATGACTATGATTGAAATCTAGACATCAGTGTTGATGTTAAACTATGGCAAGTCATATCAATAACATACGATCTAAATAGCTCAAGTGTACTCAATCCGCAATTAACCTGATGGTTTCTTTACATTTGATCTTGATTAGTTTACATGGAACGGGACACATTTGCATTGTACCTAGCTTTGAAGAACTGTCCTATGCCTATTGTGGAGTAATCTCTATGTTCAAACCTTCACGAATGGACGGAAGGATCAAAATTAGTAGTATGTTGCGAGTTTTTGTTTAAGGTCACACAAACTTTCTGTTCCAGTTTTAAATTCTGCATATGTTCAAAATATCTGACACATTACTTTTATGAACTCTTGGCGCTACATTTGGTCTTCTTCAGGAACGTTGTATGGGAATTCTAAGCAATCATTAGATGTAGAATTTTAAAAGTTTGACTATGGTTGAGAAAGTAGCGTATGCTAATTTGAGAGGCACTGCAAAAGTATATATCACTTTGATGTGGAGGAACTCATCATGATTCTAATTTTATAATTTTTAGGACTATATCAACCTAACCACTAGTATTTTCTCTTAAATTATCACCGGAAGTATAGTTTTTATGCTTCTATGTCACTTTTCTAACTCTTCTTTTGCTTTTTGTGTCTCACAACTTTCTTTTTATTTTTTGTTAAAGTGGCTGCAAAAGAGTACATAACTTAATGTGGAAGATGCTATGGTTATGTCAAGTCATGGAGCTTCTAGTTTCAACATTTTCAACATTTTTTAGGACATTTTCAGTCTAACCACTATTATTTTCTCTTCATGTTTCAGTGGAATTTAAGATTTTGTTGTTAATATGGCTTCATATCACTTTTCCAAGGTGTCCGCCTCATTTTTTTGACTTTTCGTTGTTTTATGTTCAGTCACTTTATGGTTTTTGTGACTACTCATGAACCTTTCTGATTCTATCCTTAATGTATATGGATGGGCCTCTAATTGTCCTGACACTAGTTGAGTGTTGTTATTTATTTTGTTGGAGTGTGGTTTTACAGACTGAAAGATCTATATTCTTTCTTGATTGGGTTTCCTTGTTGAAGACCATGTTGATTGTTTGTAGTATCAGATCTTTTTGGTTTAAAAAGTCTGTAATGCTTGCATTTGTATTTGATTATGGTGAAACAGGAACCTTATATGTCTAGTTCATTTTGTTTTACAGTCTAAGGAAGAAACATATTCTCTTGAGCAACAAGCTATGATAGCTGCAGCACTCAGCCATGCTGAAAGATTTTCTGTAATTACAGATAGTGGACGTGAGAGTTCAGATGTAAAAGATGCAGATAAACAGGATGTCTCAGTTGGTGATAAGGTTGACTCTTCTAGCAAATTCGTGTGCCTTTTAGTATCGATTGACTGAAAAATTATTCGACCATCTTGTTTGGACATTAATAATCCCTTCCCATGGACGGTTTTTTATTGTCTTGAGATATCGTATTGTGTAATATTTGTACTTTACTAATAGGCAATAAGTACTTACGCTCACATTGTTTCTGCTGCTCATGTATGTGCATTTCGATAATGAGAAAAAATCCTGATTAAAGAACATGAAAATGTGATGAAAGCCTTGCTAAATCTCTCATGATGATGCATTTTGACATTATTGATTTTTTATTCATGTGTTAGGAAGTTGGAAGTTTGTTCATAATCTATTTGTAACTTCATGCCAGCTTATGCAATGCAAATGGACTTTATATAGTTACATGATGACTTTCTTTCTTGATAGGTTTGTGGTCAATTGAAGGACCCTTGAAATAAACAGATTTGCATTCTGTTACTGAAAAGATTGTGAAACTTTTACATGGTGAATTGCATACATAGGCACAGCGCTGGACCACAGAAAATTTTCTGTTTCCTGTTTTTGTTTCTTCTTGCCTTGTATTTGTTTGCTTATATGTTCCAAGGCATGTTTAGAGGTAATTAAGGTTTTGTTAACTTATTATTTGGCTTTATGATAAAATAAGGGGGATCTGTTTAAGATGTTGTCAACATGTTCGAAAGCAATCATGTACACCTTGGATATATGAGATGAATTGATAAGAACTAGCGATGTGAGGAGGGGTAGAGGGAGACCTAAGAAAACATTCTAATAAAGAGGGATCTGGTAGCTGTTAGTCTGACTAGGGTTATTAACCTGCACAAAGCTCAATGGCGAGAAAAAGAATTCCATGTAATCGACACCCAATAGTTAGGACTGAGTTTACAGTTTACAACGGACGAATGGATTCTTAAAAATCTTCCAAAAGTAGACACAGTTGGAGATAATATATTTTGCTAGGGAACCTAAAGAGATGGATTTTTTTTCCCCATCTTTCTCAATTGCCAAATGGCGATGCATTTGAAAATTGAAAAACTTCCTTTGTACTTAGCTGAGCATGCAAGCTTGCGTGCTCTTTTATCACTGATGATACAGAGTTGTACCATGACATATGTTAATTGTAACTTTATTGTATTTAAACTTATTATTTTACAGCGCAAGTTTGAGGTTTTAGAGTTGGATGAAGAGGTTCAAGCTGCAATAACTGAGACTGAGGTCCTTTGGCGGGCAAATTTTCAGAAATTTGTTCACTGTCTCGAGAAGAAGGTGTCCATCAAACTCTTCTTTGTTTTTGCTCTGTTTAGTTCCATCCCTAATATGTGATGTAGGAATATGATTATTTGTCATGTAGGTATTGATTATTTCCTCACAGGTATCTGGGAACTGCTCTGCCATTTACTACCTCCATAAAGAACAAAGTAAACCAAAGTAAAATGAGCTATAACAGAATTATAATAACTCTCTTGGTACTTCTTACCAACAGAAAGATCCTACTGTTGATGTTTTGATCATTTGATTTATTGCTTGGAGATTATATTGGCATGCGGTTGTCTATGTTGTTTGCTCACAATTCTGTGTTTTCATTCTTTTGCTCATCATGATTCAGAAAACAAATAGGATTGGGAAATAAGTTTTTCAATTGTCACTATTAAATTTTAAGTGGTCACCTCTACCTGCAGTATTTAAGAGTAGTGAGTCATATCACTAAATGCACTGTTCATTATTAAGCAGCTTCTGATCAGGTTTGCTTTGGGAACTTCTAGATTCACATTCATAGTCATGCTAATGGTTTCTTCTTTTTCTCAAGTATTCCTCCTGCAATGGGCACAGTTTATACTTGTGAGTTGTGAGACTTGATGTATCTTCTTTCTTAGTATATTATGTTACTATTTTGTTAATTGTACTTTTTTTTTCCATTATAAGTACCCATTTTAGCATCATAAGACTTTTTATATTTCTGACTTGGTCTTTTTTTACCTCATACATCTTAGGCTTGTGTTGCAAACGTAAGATCAAGGCTAGGTCTTGATGCTGGTGTCGTGTTGGAAGCACTTGTAGAGTCAAGTGATCAAGAAAAAGATAATTTTGGTAATATCTGATGTCTGTACTTCATTTGTTTTTTAGAGGCATATTATCTAGGGTTCCTTTTACAGCTGGAACTCTGTGCTTCATTTACACCTTTTCTAAATGAATCAACAATTTATGAAGTAAAGTCACAATTGATTTACATAATTCAATTTTTCATTATATTTATTTCCTTAACATTAACTTGCTTGTCATTCAACTGCTTCGGCTTACTTTGTGACTTAACGATGAGTGTACTGCGAATATGCTATGGCCTAGATGTTTCATTACTTTTGTTGAACAAATTCTTCTTGGAGATTTTGAAGTTGTTTGAACCAAGGTTTGCAATACCGTACCGTACCGGTATTTCGACCTGGGCTCGGTACCGGTACGGTACGGTATACCGAGCGGTATTTACAGTAACTGCTACAGTGCCTCGGACCGGTAACCATCGGTCCGCGTACCGAAAACCTGTCAGATCGGTACATACCGCCTGTACCGGGCGGTACGGCTCGGTACGGCAAACCCTGGTTTGAACCAAGGTTCGTAATTTCGTATCATTCTGGTGTTTCGAGCTTTGCTCGGTACAGTACGGTATAGGCGTACCGAGCGGTACGTTAGGGTGTATACTACCTCGGCGACGTCGCCTCCTTTACTTCTCCTCGTCGCGTTAGACGAGGAGAAGACCGGTCTTCTCCTCATCTGCGGTGTTCAACAAAGGCGTCGAAGGCCACAAATGCCTCCGACCTTCGATGAAGAACGCAGCGAAGGCCACAGGCGTCTACGGCCTTCTGCAAAGAAGAAGCCGAGCCGTCGCCTCTTCGTTACCTTCTGGATCGGGATTGTCAAGGGAGGGTGGCGTCGGATTGGAAAGCGTCGAGGTTCTCCTGAATCTCCCCCTTCTTCTCCCTCTTCTTCGAGCGTCTTCTTCCTCTTCTCTCTCGATGGTTCTTCTACCCTTGTCGCAGCTAGGCTGATACCGTCCGGTACGGGTGGTATTATTCGAAATTAAAATCCTTGGTTTGAACCTTAACTATCTGTTCTTGTACCTTTGTTTTCATGCAGACAGTCACTTATCCAAAATGCAGAATTAGATGTTCTTCTGTAAAAACTTAATGTACTTGATTCTAGAGGAGATCTTTTGTTTTCGTCATAAGTTCATGAAACATGGTGTATGAAAGTCTAGGTGATCTTTCTTGCACAAGAAGGGAAATCCCCATGTAAGAATGCCAAAAGATATTCAGACTTAGCTGGTTTTGCCTAAGTCGTGCGGCACCCTTGCGTGTCCGTTCGCAAAGGTCAGCCTCCCGAAAGCCTCCCATGATCCCTTAGAACCTCCCCCAAAAGAGAGAACGGGTTAGAGAAAACGTCTCAGGATCCACAAGCAAACATTTCCGGAAACACTTCATAGACAATGCAAATTACAAACAGACTTTACAAGCTCTGAACAGTTGCACAACAAAGGGTCAAAATGGTTCATTACAGACCGAAAATCTCTCACAAGTGTCCACATGACACAACCTTTATTTATAAGCCTAAAGAGGCCACCAACCTAACTAAAATGAGACTATTAAGACTTCGACCGTCTCTCTACATGCTGTGCAAATCATGAACATACCAAAAGACACGGACATACATAAGCATTACATCAAACATCCTGTTTAGAAGTTTGTCCGTGACAATAAGTTCACGAAACATGGTGTATGAAAGTCTAGGTGATCTTTCTTGCACAAGAAGGGAAATCCCCATGTTTGAATGCCAAAAGATATTCAAGATAGCAATGAATATTTTGATCTTGGCTTGTCACATTTAAATATATACATTTATATATATCTCTCTCTGAAGCCTCATCTTTCTATCTATATATCTAGATGTACAAACTTCGTAGGTTACACATGTTAAATTATCTGTTTAATTATGATTGCACAAGTCGATCCATAAAGCCTATTTCCTGAGAAATGAGAATCCATATCTACAAGCCTAGAAAAGCCACCATAAATTCATTCTAGCATTTAAGATTTAAATAAGCTATCTTATTATCTTTCAGTTTAATTAATAAAGTTATCATTGATCTAAAAATTATGTTTTGAAATCATATGGCTACTGAAAATTTGGGATTTACTTCTTTATTGGAATTTATATATAGAAGATCCAATTCTAACCACTTATATTTTGCTGTTTTATCTGTAGTTAAAGCATCAATGGATGGTATTTTGGAAGCAGTGAGAGGAAAGCCTGGTGGTATCTCTATGACGTTGGAACACATTAGGATTGTCCTTGATCAACTTGGTTGTTCTTCTTCCATCGAGGATAACAATGTATTCTACAAAATGGGTAAACGTGTTCTTACCTCTGGCATCTGTTGGGTTTATTAAAACAGACTTATAGTTCTTGGAGTTCTAACTTTTGTCTTTTGACATTGTTCATTTTCATGGCTTGTAGAAGTGCAATGCATAATTGAATCTTGTCAGAATGATGAGGTACGTAAGTACTGTATTTTTGTTTCTCAAATTATTTTCGCAATCTTCAGGATTGCAGCACATTTACCTTTCTTGTGTTCCATTTTTAGGTGGAGTCTCTTGTGTTATCAAGATACGGAAAAGAGGCATATAGGATATTTAGATTGTTAATTAAAAAAGGTTCTCTAGTTGAGACGGAACAGGTAATGCCTTTCCTGCTAAGAGATTTTGCCCATAAATTTTAGATCTTTTTGGGGCTTGCTTTTTTCCTTGATGACCTAATCTGGAGTTTTACATCTTGTTGATTTTAGATTGATAAAGTTTTTTTCTAGATTTCCTGGAAGCTAGAAATAATATGCATGGCAGTTAATATTTTAGTAGCATCATCTCATCCGCAAAAAAATGAAGAAGTTAGCCAACAAGTTCAGAAACATAAAAGAAGATTATATGTTGAGATGTATTATAATGGTTTTATATAGTGTATAATTTATTATTATGCCTCTTGTGCCTGTGTAGTTTCTCATAGTTGAGGTATTTCTCTTTTTTGGCCTTAGGATTAGAACTTTTACTGTTGATGATTGTCAAAGTAGTTGTCAAGGAACAACTACGTCTAAGTTACATACATATTGCTAATATTCAATGTCTTGAAGCCTTACAGAGATGATAGATGTAAGCATTTCGTTTACATAATTAGATGGCACAAGATTTCATATACATGGTGATTGTGAAGCGCCTGACGAAGTGTTTTAACTGACATGGACACAGCGAGCATTTCGATTTGCAGCAACCTTTCAGTGTGGGAATGACACTCAGAAAGGCAGTTCTTGATCCCAATCAATGCTTAAAATGTCACTTGAACTGGAGTAGTTGGCTTGGTATTTACTAATCCTAGCAGTAACGACACAGAATATCTGGTACCTATGGTATAAACTTAAATCCAGTTCAAACCAACCTATCTCGGTCTCTATCATTTCATGCTCTCTTAGTATAGCCAAAGTTTTTAGTCCCAAAAAAAGACAAACAAAGAATTTTAGACCTTTAATGGCTGAAAGTCTTCAATCTCACTGCCATTGTTCCTGTTCATTGTGAGTGGTAGCAGATAGAAAAAATATAAGAGAAGCAAAGAAGAAAAGGAGAGGAAGAGAAGACTGATCTTTTTTCAGTATGGTGTGTAGTATCTTCAGTGTCTTTGACCCCTCTGGTAAGGAAACTGTGGAAATCAGAGGAAACAATAGTATTACTTGTCTCTCATCTTTCTTGTTTCTTGTTTCTATTTTTAATTTTGTTTTTTGTTGTTGGTAATGCCCAAGTATACTGGTCAGTATTGTGGTATCATACCGGTTTGGCAGTCTGCCAGACTCATCCTGGATTCATATGTACATATAGATTATGGAATTTTGATGCTTTTGAAAAATCACATAGTACCCTTAGGGACCCGATTTATTTGACTTAAAGGGATGAAGAAATTGTTTATTTGGTACATAGTTGTGATTAAGAACATATATGATGTAGCCAGTGATTTAAATAGGTGCTCGGGCGAAGTGAGGCTTGAGCGCCTCGTGTGTGGACCAGATGGCGTGCTTCAATGAGGTGTTGCTTGGGATTGAAGCGCACTGCCTGGGCACTCGCACGAACCCAAATGCCGAGCGCTTCGGGTGAGCGCCTGGTTTAAATAAGGCAACTGAACCAGACTTTTAAGTTTGGTTTGGTTCAACAGTAGTTAGTAACTCAATTTCTTACCCTCAAAAGCTACCCTTCACGCTCGCACGACCCCAAGCCAACCCTAGCGTTGCTTCTGCCTCCGCTGTCAACGCTTCTGTCGTTGCCTCCATCGTAGGTGCAGCAGACCGAGCCTTCCTTTGTCGTCAATGGACAAGTCCAACGGCCTAGCAAGAGCTCGTAGCTTCCTTACATCATCGCTCCGTGTGCAGTTCCTTCCATTGTCGAGAGAGAGGACCGCAGGTTCCTCCGCCACCAACGAACGCCCTTTGGAGCTTCCGTTACTGACGTAGCTGTCTTAAACTAATCCTCCGCCGCTGCCACTCTCAGCTTCTCACCGCTATTGCTGCCACTTTCCACTGTTGATTTTCACTGTCAATAACCCTTTTATCCCCTCTAACTACTGTTAACAGTAAATAATATAATGTTAATAGTATATTTTTAATTTAATATCATATTTTTATTTAAATAATCATATTTATTAATTATATTATATAATTTTTATATTTTAATATTTTAGAGCATCTCGCTTCGTTTAGGCGAGCGCCTAGCGCTTTTTAGATCATTGGAAGTAGCTGCTATTGTAAGAACTAGTGAAAATATATGTTAGAACTAGTTACTACTTGTGGTTGCTTTGTGCCAAGGGTTAGAATTTAATTTCTGACCTATTTGCACTTGTTGTGGCAACCTACAATTCATAAACGATCTGTTTCAAGTTAACCTTTGTTGATGATGTTATTCTAATTGATGTAACAGAGATTAATTTAGGAACTATGCTTGATATGTATGATGAAACTTTATGACTATATGGAATGCACATCTATTAATGTCTATGTCAAGAAATAAAGATTTAAGTGGGTTATATCTAACATGAAGGGGACACTAAATATTTGTAAAACATTGGCAAGATGATTAATTGAAAGAAGTGTGTCTGATGCATCATGCAATTACAAATTACACCTATGACAATATGGAAAATGTTGATTGTAAGGTGAGATGATGTAGAACATGAAAGTATGGAATATGCTCATGAAGATAATGTAGAAATGAGGATATCGACTTGGATGATTGGTATTACTAGGACAAATTGAAAAGAGAGTTTGTAATAGTTTGTTTAATCAATTATAAGTAGTGGTAGTGCCATATGAGTTTTAAGGTGTGAGAAAATTGTTTGCTATGGTCTTGTGCATATGCTTGTCTAAGTCCAAGTTGTGAAACTGAGATATTTGGACTTAGTTTTCGTAAGTGACGGACCAGAGAAGACTTGGCCAAAAGAAAATGATCCGTGTATTATGAGAGGGCATTACCTTTAGCAAAGTTAAACAGCAACAGAGATTAATGCAGCCATCACCAGCTTTTATATGAATAAAGTTTGTCGGTATTCTAATTTTTCATTTCTTTTTGACGAGTGGTTTTAAAAGGCGCTTGGGCATGGCGAGGCTCGAGCGCCTCGCAGAAACCCCAAGCGCTGCGCTTCAATGAAGCGCTACTCGGGTGTTCGCTTGAGCTTAGGCGCCAAGCGCCTCGAGTGAGCACCCATGCCAACTTTGGGACTTGGGTTCAATCATTGGTTCGATTGGACTTATAAGTTGGTTCAATCGAACCAACTACCTTAGTCCAACCCCCTCCCTCGCCTGTCCCAGTAAAAGAAAACAAAGGTGAAAGAAACCCTACATCTGTCGCCTTTATTCGCTCTGCCAACCGTCGTCGGCAACCTCCAATCTCATTCACAGCTGTAGCTCAGCTGCCGTCGTTGCAACTCGTTCGTTGTTGGAGCTTGCCCGCCATTGCAGCTCGTTCGCCACTACAACTTGTCCGACACTAGAGATCGTCTGCCACTACAGCTCGTCTAAACCCTAAACCTCTTCCACCGCTATATTTCTGTCCGCTACTGTCGTAGCTCTGTCCGCTGCCAATGGCAACCTCTTCCATTGCCTTCGTTCGCTGCCTTTACACGCTTCGTTCGATGCTGCAGCTCCGTTCAACGTCGTCGACAACATTGTCTGCTGCCTTTGTCTGCCACTGCAGCTTCATCCATTCGCAGCTGCTGTTTCGTTCGCCGCCCTTTGCTTCCCCCACCTTCTTGTTAATCAAACTGCTTCGTCCATTCCCCCACTTTCCTGTTAATTAACTGGTTGGCTCTTGTCCAATTTTGGTCAAGAAACTCCCTGGTTAACAAAACATTCTTGGTATACATGAAACTCTCTTAGCTTTTACTTGATGATGTCTTAGAGCAACAAAACATTCCTGGCTAACAAGATGCTTTTGGAGCAGTTTAATTCAAATATAGGTCTTCATAAACATGTTTAGCATATTTTTATTTAGTTGTCTATTATTTTAATTATAATATTTGGGAGTGCTTCACTTCGCTTGAGTGTGCGCCTAGTGCCTTTTAAATCACTGTTATTTGAGTAACCAAGACTAATGGTTCACTATATTTACTTTCTATGGACTACATGATGCTGTTACATATGTTCTGTGAAATAATGTTACGAGTTTTGCATAAGTTAAAAATAAAAACAGCTATATAAGTGATATCTTGTGGCTCAGAGACAAATATGATAAAATTGACATGGGCTTAATTCTAAACACCTTGCTAATTGTGGTTTGACAGATTTGATAGACCTAGATGTCATTTACTTAAAAGTGCAGCAGTCATATAGAATTATAGACATCATTAAAGCTGTTTATATGACACATACATAATTCTGATGCTATCTGTGCCTTGATAATTCAATTGATGGCAGAGAACAGACTAAAGTGTATAGTCGATAAAAATAATTTGCCTAATGTAAAGATTTTGGTTTCTTTCTTCCATGTTTTATTCATTAACACTCAGTTGTTTCATCTTTGTAGATCTCAGATATCACATTTGTTGAAAAGAAAGTTGCCCAGGGGATTTTATACAAGCTTTGGAATGATGATTACCTGTATATGCAGGTGAAGTAACTTTTATTGGGACAATATGCATTTTCATTTATTAGCATAGAGATTCATTATTGGCTTGTGTGAAAATCTGTTTCTTGTATGCTTATAACCTTGCAACATGTGTGATTTATTTGTAACAGAGAGAAGGTTATCACAATCATGTTGGCTTCTAGCTTATATTTGCATTTTTTAGGTTCATTTACCTATTTTATTAAATACTTCTTACTGCTTCATTTGGGCATTTGGAATTTTGGTTTGAGGTTTTTAATATATTTTACTCTTTGTAAGATTCTGTGTTTATGACATTGTGTCAGTGCTTGTTGTCCATTGGCTATAACAATGGTGTAAGAGTTTATTCTACATGATGAAATCTGTTAACATCTATAAGGGATTTCTTGTGCAAAAAATTAGTCTTTTATGTGCTAAGTGGGAAGTCTTTTTGGTTTGTTGTTGTCGTTGCTAAGTGGGAATTTTTTTTGTAATAGTCAGCCAGATGTCATCTGTCTCGTTGTTATTGTCCTGGCCCTTTTCAGATCAAGTGGGTTTATATGAGATGACATTATGCAACTTTTGTCAATGTGATGTTAAAATTGCAAAGATGTTACTAAATTCCTAGTGAGGGTAAAATTAGCAAGAAAGACACCTCTTCAGGAACCTATAAAAAAGCTAATTTGAAACTGTTTTCTTTTTTCTGACTGCCATTCTTTTTCTGACCGATCATATATGTTTAAACCCATCATCTAGCCTTAAGCAATTTCTATCTTCATTTTCATGTACTAAACAGATGATTAGTTTGTGTCGAGATAATTTCCAACTGATCATCCTAAGATTTGTCCTAATCAACTTCTGCATTATTTATTCTTTTTGTGCTTCTGTATCATACTTTATACACAGGCTACTATGAAAAAATCTGATTACTCTATGCATGGATTGTTGAATCGGTCCGTACCTATGTACCGACCATGTGTTGGTACGGTACTTATCGTGCATACAAATGTACCATATGTCGGTACATGGGCGTACAGATGATATACCAAAGATCACCAAAAATGGCTCCAAAAATACTTGAAAAAAAGAGAGGTTAAATTAGGATTCTAAAGTGGAATTTGATCGTTATTGACCTGTACCGTTCGATAACTATCGGATTTCAACTGTTACTGATCGGTACAAACCTCGTGTCGGATAATATGGGGTCATATAACTGTACTGCCTGGAATAGGGTGGCTCATGTACTGGTTTCCAGTTTGATTGGTACGTACCACTTGTACTAGGCGGTACTCATCAATACAACAAACCATGATTCTATGTGAACAGCACCTAAATTTATTGATGGAGCAGTGTAAGAATCTAGCTGACAAGCAGTTCATTAATATGAGAGTATATACCGATCCAAACTCCTAGATATAACATTATTCTTCAGCTACTATGTATTAATTGGGTGAAGATACCACACAAATCTGGTCGCAATTGTGCTAGGATCTTAGTCCTTGTCCAGTGTGGTATGAAAATTGGAATTTTATGAATATTTTTCAAAGAAAATTCATGTTATGAAGAACAGAGTTGTTTACAACAGTTATATTATAAGGGTCCAAAAATGTCAAATCGAATGACATCTAGCTTGTGTAGGTTCTGTTTTTGGTTGTTTTCAGATTCTTATCCAGTATGTTCTGTGAACTCAGATATATCTAAGTCCTGTTTGCATGTACTTTAACCTCGGAGGTGTGTTGACCAATGTTATTGGTTTGTTATGTTGGTTAAAGTATATTATGCCATGCAAATTATGCACTTTATATTGATTTTGTAAATTATATATACACTCTTAAAATACTAATTGTCTGCACATGACTATGATATTTTATCTACTTGAAGTAAATATGAAATGCAGAAATCTTTTTTGGTAATTCCAAATATAGTAACTCGCTAGTAATCTGAATGGGGTTTCCTTGTTCTGTTCACAGAAAGTTATTTCGATTGGTGCTGGACAGTTGCAACATTTCTTGTGGAAAGTGGAAAAGCATTCACTTTGGGAGCTTGTCCTAAATCATATGTATCATGCTGCACTTAATTTGAATCAAAAGATTGCTCATATAGTTGAACAGGAACAAGAGGTTGGTGATTTTTATTCTTTGTTATGGACTTTTCGTGGTCCTATTTTTCCCACCTGTTCTGTTTATTTTAAGCTACTTATTAGAAGCAGTTGAATGTCTGTAATAGTAATTATTTAATTCAATGATGGTGTAATGGGTTACTTTGTTCCAATTAGTCATCATGACGTCAAGGCCACTTGATCTATAACAAATAGCATGATGTCAATGCCACTTGACCTATTACAAATGGCCTTTAGGTTCTAGATGTAGCCTTGTTACCATGTCATTTGCCCAACTTTTATAGATGGGGAAAACATCATGTTAATAGCATGCTGAATTGCTGATTTGGACAGTAACCAAATTGTTAATTTCTGGTGATGGCTGTGCTAAGTCAATAGCTGCAATTGCCTCTGTACGAGGACTGTTGCTTTTCTACCTGACTGTTGAAATCAAATTTTAGCATTTGTCAGACAGAAGTGTACATCTCAAGCTATAGTCATATGTCATCTATTTATTTATTTTTTGGTTTTCTAAGTACTGTAACTTTGATATATTCTGTAATCTTAGATGCTGTATGTTATGTTAATGCTCATTTCTCTTATGATTATTTGCTTTTCCTGTTCTTGACTGCCTTGTCAAAGGTTTGTACTTAATTTTGTCCCCATTGTTTGACCAATAACTTTCGTGAGGATCAGTCCTAAAGGAAGATAATTCTATTAATCTTTTGTACAGCCTTGGAATTTATTGCTCCAGGAACTTTAGTTAAACTTTATGCTGGGATAAATACCATGTAACATTCCAGATTTATATTTGAACACTGTTAAATATATATTTCTTTTGATAGTGCAGCCTTACTCTTGTTTTCTTGGCTTCTGATATCCAATAGGTCTTGTCATGGTTTCTTAGTGGCACTTGGCACACATGGTAATTGGCGAGTGGCCAACCCATGCTGTATGGTGCCATGCTTGCTATGTGCTTGCTTACATGTTTTGTATTTATCTACAATGGACCATTGTTTATAATTTTGGTTTAACTAATTGAATAATTATTATCTTCACAGCATAGTGTTGATTTGGAGTCAGCTTGTTTGTTAAATTTAGCTTAGTTTGTTAAATTTATCACAACTCCGGTTCAGAGCGTAATTTTCATTTACAAAGGCTTATGCTTGTAGATATGAAATCTTCTCAACTTCCAAAGGTGCTAAAATTGTTAGCTAGCATAAGATATCCAAATTTTCAGGCATGCATCAGTTGCTATTTTAGCATCTACAGGTACTTAAAAGAGTTTTCCAAGAAACGATCTGCTTCTGTTTCTGCCACTTTATGTTGTATCTCTATAGATTTTAGCAATTAGTGAGTTTTCCAAAATTGATTGTTTTATGTTTCATTGCAAATTACGTTGCCATTGACTGGCAATCCAAAAGCAAACCAAAACAACCTGATTTTTGTTTTATGGTGCCTCGTAAATCATTCATATTACTGCTGCAAGTCATAAGTTGGCTTTGACTGTTGTGCTATTTCAAGGAATAGCTTTTCTTCCCCCATTTATATGGCGTCACGTTTGCCGACTTTGTTGTGGCAGGTTCTACAGGCTAGGGAAAAACGTGAACAGCTGAGGAAAAGTAGGATGATACTGGAATTGTCCCTTCTGAAAGTTGATGATGCTCTGATGTTATTCCACGACTTCAAACGTTAGGGCGTGTAGCTTTTGTCATATACGTAGCTTGAGTTTTTTTTTTTTAATCATATTTGTAAAGGAGGTTTATGACAACTTTGTTGTGGCAGGAAATTGTGCTTAACCAGACCAACAGGGTCGTCGACCCTGGGATACGTTGTTACATCATCAACTTTTGTTTCTGAAAATGATTTTTTCGAATCATTCCGTCGCTGTACTGTATATATATATATATATATATATATAGAGAGAGAGAGAGAGAGAGAGAGAGAGAGAGAGAGGCTTCAGTTATCTCCTATTCCCAATGACTTAAAAGTGGGGGACTGCCTTATAAAACAAGTATCTTATTTGAACTCTGTTCTCTTCTTCAAATGTGTAGTCCTCCTCAGGTGATGGCGGTTATGTCTTTCTTCTTCCTCCACAGGTTGAAATCATCATTCGATTTCCACTGTGTTGTGTCAGTTCCATGTTCAACACACTTGGAGGTTGCCCTTTGGTTCCATGTGCGGAACCTGTCATGGAAAGATTGTCTGTTTCTTGGGCAAGTATATATGCCTTGAGTGCATTAGGTAACGTGTTGTGGTCTCCCATTGTCTATAATACATCTAAATTGTTCCCTTGAATGAACAATTTGTATTGGATGCCACAAGTGGGACCTGTGGGAAATCTTCCAGAGACTAGGTCTACTTCTACAAGCTGATTCCCCTACATGTAGTCTATTCCCTGCTACAAGTCACCCACCCCATGTGCTTTGCACATTACAAACATTGCAGCAACTTACCATATATATATATATATATATATATATATATATATATATATATATATATATATATATATATTTCTACATATATGCAGTTAGTTCCTCATCAAACAAATACTTTCTCCAAGTTTCTGATTCATGACTCTCTACTAATTTTTTTTATATGGTAACAGCAGGAACAACTACTTGTTCTTTTGTTCGCAGCACAAATAAAAACCATGTCCGTCGACTTCTCTCCTGTCCGATTCCTCCTCCGTCCAAGCCTGTATCGATGTACATCACAGACTCGTACGAATATTAAGGCAGCATCCTACCCGATGGACGGTCATCTTGCAGAGGACCGGATCCAACAAACAGGAGGAGAAGACGCAACACTGGAGCTAAAGGACAAATCATCCACGTTACAAAGAGACGAGAGACAGAGAGACCAAAGCCTCTCCCCCCGCTGCACAAAGCACTGACGCAGGCATAAGGAGAACAGCAACATCACCACCCCCGGCAAGCCAAAACGCCCTCCCAAATGCTTCCATGCCAACCTTGGATCCAACTCTAAGCTTCCCTTTGGCTAACGCAACTCCTCCCCTTGCCATGCCTTTCAACACTTGCGATGTTTCCTTCATCTGTTTCTTCTTCTCCGCCGCTGTCGTCGCCGCCCAGCAAACCGATAGCGACACCTGGACGCCGTCCAACGTGGCGGTGTCCTTTCGCCCCAGCGTCGGGATCGTGATCGGCATATTCACGTTCATGTTCTCCCTCACCTTGCTCCTCCTCGTATACGCCAAGTTCTGCCGATCCGCCGCCGCCCCCGAACCCGACTCCCTCGGCGCCGACGCCGCTGGCCACGGAAGGTTAATTCTGCCCCAGCACCGCTTCTCTGGCATCGACAAGACCGTCATCGAGTCCCTCCCGTTCTTCAGCTTCTCGTCGCTGCGCGGCGTCCGCGACGGCCTCGAATGCTCCGTCTGCCTGTCCAGGTTCGACGACGCCGACGTCCTCCGCTTGCTTCCCAAGTGCAAGCACGCTTTCCACGTCGGCTGCGTCGACCGCTGGCTCGAGGCGCACTCCAGCTGCCCCCTGTGCCGGTGCAAGGTGGAGGCCGATGACGCCGCCCTCTTCAAGTACTCCACCAGCTCCCGCTTCCTGTTCCCCTCCGACCGGCTCGAGACCAGCGGCCGCGACCTCGAGCTGTTCGTGGAGCGACAGCCCAACGACGACGGCGATCCCCGCGGTTTCTCGAGATTCGGCATCGGCAGTAGCTTCCGGAAGACCGACAAGGTCACCAAGGACAAGAAGGATCAGGACTTGCCGATGCTCGAAGAAGGCGCCGACGGAGGCCGGTTCTTCCACAAGTTCAAGCACAAGATCATCGTCTCCGACGTCGTGTTCAAGAGCCGGTGGAGCGACGTGAACTCGTCCGACTTGATTGCGTTGAACTCCGAAATGCTATCCGGGAAGACGTTGGCAGATGTGTACTGGAACGTGGAGCCAACTGGCGCTGCAAGGATCAGCGGGGGCTCATCAGAGGGAAAAGCTTCGGTCGATGAGAAGGTGCTCAAGATCAAGGAAGAGATGGAGAAGAAGAGACTGCTCGAGATCAAAGCCAGCCAGCTGAACAAGAGCTGTTCGACGGCGCTCCCGAGCATGTCCTCGAATTCTGCTCACGACGCCAATCTAAACAATACCAATTCGAGAGCTCTGATTTCGTCGGGCAACAGAACAATGTCGGAGATCACAAACTTATCGAGGTTCAGGCAGGTCAAAGATCCCGGCAGCATCGGCACGACAGATGAGAACGAAGATGAAAAGGTGAGGAGGCTGTGGTTGCCGATCGCGAAGCGGACCGTTCAGTGGTTCGCCGGAAGGGAGAAGAGGTCGCCACTGGTGTAGCCAATCTTAGCATCAAGATCGACTGGATTCTCTCTGGTTTTGGTTAAAGATAGCGACAAACACATACACGCACCTTGTTCCCATTTGTCTCCCTCATCACAGTTCTCTGAGTCTCTCTGTCTGAGAACATAAGCAAACCTTGTAGCAATCGGATCAAAAGATAAACATATATGTTATACTAGCATAGATGATCAACACAAATTCATGTCTCCGACGCAGGAGCACATGTCGCTGACTTCTTCTCGGACATCAACCATCAAGTTTCTGTATTTGGGATAAGAGCTCGGTAGAGACGAGCAATTAGTAACGTAAGAAACAACTTGCAACGCGTTGCCATCAATCACATATCCTCGGCAAGCCCTCTGTCATCACCCCCTCCCCAACTTACGTGTTTCCTGGCCTTTTGCTCCTCGGTCGGTAACGGAGACGAGGAAGGCTTGTAGTCTATCCCAGTACGTTTTGGTTGGAGCAGTTGAAGTCTGCAGCGACTTGGTGACACTAAAAGATGCCAAGAACAAAGCTTCTTAAATCAATGGTGGCCTGCAGGCGTGATGGATGAGATATGCTTCGTTGTCCGCTACAACAGAGGATCCAATCCACCATCTCCCCGTGACGCAGACAGAGCTCTCTTCTTCCCCATTCTAATCCTCCACCAGTTCTTCATTGTATATAATGTAACAAAAGAGAGAGAAAAAGTGCACATCTATGGTTGATGAGGAAACGTGGATCCCCAGAACTGCGTGCTCAGACGTTCACACGATCCATGGCGACAAAGATGGTGTTCATGAATAGTAACTAAAGATCTTTTCTCCTTGAGTGGCTTGACTTTGTGCAGCTCGGCTTTGCATGTATGTGACGAGGCTATTGTTTAATGCAAACTGTCTCTATACCACACTTTGGAAGACGACTTGTTCGATAGGTACCGTAACCTACATGTTATTGGATTCGGTATTTGACCGGTAATACCGGTGTGTTGTAGGTTTGAACTGACTTTTCATAAATGATTTGCGTCATGAAGCGTTTTTAGCCACAATTGGCCTCCGACAGAAAGATGCTGACTTCCCAGAAATCAAGGCCATAAGAAGTCAACTGGTGATCGCTACAACTCGCGGAAATCCAGGAGTGTCGATATCCTCTATCTATCAACCCAACAAACAGACAACGGAACGCTGTGCTGAGTGGCCCAATCAAGACGAGCCCAACACGGGTTGCCTGGTCGAGCGAGGAAGCCGGACAAGTGAGTGTCGCCTGCGCTTTGCATGAGCCCGAGCGCCTACGGTCTTCTGCTATGTTGCTTTCTCGCTGTCCTAATCGGCTACTGCGCTGTGGGGATAAAAGCGAAGGGAAGCACACGCCGCCTTTTTGACTTGGGTTCAACAGGACGGCGAACACACGTACGACGCCCGCCGTCGGCTCTTGTCCGATGTCATGCACGCGAGCGACGCGTCACTTCGAGTTCCCCGGCGCGCACTCTGTAGAAAGCGGCGTCGCGTGCCTGCGTGCGTGCGTCTCGCTCGCCTATTGTCTCCTCCGCCCGCGCGTGCGTGCGCCCCGCTTGCCTTCTGAGTCGGGCCCGCCCTCTGAAACCCAGCCAACTGCACCATTCGCAGCAGACACTCGTAATCATCAGGTAGCAGAAGAGGTATCAGCATGGAGGCACGTAGCGCTCAGCCACTGGAGTGCCCGCGGCCACCAGAGCAGACCCTGCGCTTCACCCGTTCATGGCCACTCCCTTCCTGTTGTCAGGACGCCCTACATTGGAAACAGAGGGAGTGAGAGAAACAAAAAGGGCAGGGCAAAGAGGAAAGCCCCTTAAACGGGGAACATGTTTTCTGGAGATGCTGGTTGGGCTTCCATTTGGATGTCAACTAGCAGCACGCTCAACACTGTCGTAGTACTACATCACCAAATATATATAGGACCTCAGCGTGTGTCCCCGTCCATCCCTCTCTTCTCCAACTCATATAGTCCATTAGAATTTTGTTCTCCACAGATTAAGGTAAATGGCAGCCATCCTATCAGCAATGCGTTACGTAAGCCATTAAACATCAATCTGAATTCCTAAATGTCCGTCTCGAAACGTAAGAGCAAAGATTTAATTCCTTTCCGAAGAGTCTTGGCTCTCTAACTATTTCTTTCTCGTCTTTGCTTGCAGTCGTATGATCATGGAACCGGCATCAGCTACACATGCCTTATTCGATCTTTCTGACTCCACCTTGACCTCCTTCGATCTCGATGACGCAAGGGTTTCAAGCGTTGATGCACCGGTACAAGCAAGACCAGCTCGATCTCGCTCCCATGATGCTGCCTTCGACTCGGCAAAAGGCTCCACAGTTGCTGATGAGGATTCTGAAGGAGAATTAGGTGCGTTGTCGAACGCTGGGACATGCTATCATCGCGAACAACCGGAGGAGGGTTCCGAGGAGGCCGAGGATGACGACGGCGACTCCGTTACCGACCTTCTTCACGTGGAGACTGTAAGGCAGAAGATTGAGGTGTTGGCTGCAATGGTGGGCATGGAAGAATCAGATGAACCTGGGGCGGTGTTGGGCGAGGTTGTGAAGGTTCTCAAGGAGTTGGAGAGGAAAGCAGAGCGTGTCGCTTGTAGGATGGAAACAACAGAGGAATAAACCCTGCACTGCAGGATTCCAATGCATTGCAATTGGACCAAATGTAGCTTTATGTTATCTATCCTGAGAAAAATATGGTTCCTTGATCTGTCTCTGTGCTTGTTTCGGATTAATCCAATGCACTGGAGTTTGCAACATGATGATCAACGGATAATTGAAGGATCATTACCGGCAACCAAAAGGTAGGAATCAGCTTCGTCACCATTACCATTACATACGTGGACACGGCACAAGTGACACTACCTGTTGCATCATCGGATATCTAATAGCGGTTATGCCACTTCAGCTGTCACAACTGCCCTATGTTCCATCATTCGCAATTGTCACCGCGGCCATCTCGATAGCAATTATGCCACCTCAATGATCAAACCACTATCCTAGAGATTAATAGTACTATGGAACCGTCACCTTAGCGGTGTAGGACACATCATCAAGACCCTTTACTAATTACTCCAATCGTCTTAATCGGAAATCATTAGAAATCTCTAGACTATAAATAGCTTTTTTTCTCTTTTCGCACACATAAATCCACTATTAGATCTATATCGTGTTCATCCACCATCTTAAGAGTCATAGTTCAACAACAACTATCTAGATCTATATCGGTCGAACAGCCCTAACAACTTATCGATGTTTTAAGTCAAATCGATTTACTTCTATCTTAGGCTTGAAAGTCATCTATAGGATTGATTTTGAGGAAAACAAGTATATTCTTCTTGAAAACATATACTTCTAATCTGAATAGCACAAAATAATAGATCATGGAGAAATCATAATCCTTATATCTACATGAATAATAACACTAACAAGTATATTCTTCTTGAAAACATATACTTCTAATCGAAATAGCACAAAATAAGAGATCATGGAAAAACCATAATCCTTATATCTACATGAATAATAACACTATAAATTCTCTCCATATTAACGATCCTCTTCATTGAACACCTTGCACTGGAAAATACTCATTTTAACCATGCACAGAAGTATAGTGTAATATATCAAAAGAATTCTACAAACAACCAAAATTACTACGAGGAAAAACAATAAAGGAATGAATTAATATAATATTTTATTATTACTTTCAATCTTTCTTCACAATATAAACTCTTTGTTAGATTAAGTAATTTTATTTAATTAAGTAAGATATATTATATATTTGATTAGATTCTAAACATGGTTATCAGTCAATACAATGAAAATCTAGGATTAGATAAGAGAAAATTTTCTGATTACTTATTCTAAATCTTCAATTGGCTACGAGAAGATTACATATCTACTTTTATGTTTTCTTATTTACTTATATTACATATCAACTCTTATGTTTTCTTAGTTACTTATATTACATATCTACTCTAATGTTTTCTTAGTTACTTATGTTTTCTTAGCCAGTTGCCTATAATTATATGGGACGCGACTATGATATACAAAAGAAGATTATAGATCTATTCTATTTTTCATTAGTCTTTATTCTATCGTTTATATAAATAAAGGGAACTTTTGAAGGTCTAATAGAGGCAACTTGTAGTAATTTGCTGGACTTCATCTTAAATGCCTAATGATGTGCATAAAAACTAAGTTGGATATTCAAACAAACCACCCATAAGGTATCAAAATAGATGTGTTTGTGTGTGAGGGAGAGAGAGGCACACTGTCGACAACACATACCTGTTGCACCAAATAAATCAAGAAGCCAAGTCCGACGAACCAATGCTTGTGGTTGAGAGAGAACTCAGCATGAAATGCTGATCAAGCGATCAAGTTTATATCTCTTGTCAAGATGTAAATTATCAGGAAATTTACTAACAACATGACCTAAAACCCTACAAGTGTCACCTTTGTATCCTGAGATACTTCGCCCCTGAGTTGAATCCTCTCCTCTCTGGCTGGCCTCTCTTCATTATGCAACCAAAAGCATCTGCTGCCAAACAAAGACGCACAGAGAAAGCTTCTCCTATTCCAGCAGAAAGATTCATCCAGTACCATGACATCAGATCTGTGCTTCAGATTATCGCACTTTATATGAAGTCAGAATAAGACTTTCTCATGCACTATGATGGAAGACTACTACTACTACTACATGGAATTAGCATCTGCTTGTGCATTTTCTGGAGTTCATTGCAGTTTCTTTCCTGCAGAATATACATAAATGTTCTTAATAACCTCCGAAACTACGGCAACTTCACAAAAATATCCTTAAGGAGGTCCGTATTGCAAGAATTTAGAGTGATAGTTTAAGCTCCAAATCTAGTTCTTGTGTCTGGTTTGGGTCAGAAATTTGGCCATTTGAACCCAAAGAGAGGCTTCGATCATGCCGTCTCCTCTTCTGTGCTGAGTCCTGTGCAGTGAATGCATCCTCGATGGATTGTCGGAAGAGCGGCAGTGCCACAGGATGTGCGTGGTAATGGTATGGATAGATACTCGCTTCATTCAATTGTGATCTGTTATTGATGCCATGAATATGTAGTTGAGAGACGATGAGATCTCTTTAGTGATGAAAACTCTATAGCAAGATTACCTTGCTGAAGCATCAGACCAGTGTTCGACATAGTTCAAGCATCTTTTGTCATTGTTTCCATGTCCCACCTACAATTACAACAACAAGAGTTATCGATGCTCATGAACATATGCATGACAGATTCTGAGTTATTGATGCTCATGAACATCTTCTTTAAATCGTGGCTTTTGCTTAAATCTGTGCTACTTCATCGTGGAAACTCGAGTTTGACGTACTGTCATGTTTGGATGCAGTGCAAGCGTCGGCGATCCTGATGATGAGGGAGATGATGGAGCTGCCGCTTTTACTTTCGAATCTTCCTGCATGAGACAAGCCATGAAGATGATCTGCATGTGAGAAGCTGTATATGCAAATCGAACCTACACAAACTCTGGAGAAAGAACAACACATATACATGGATGGAGATGGAGAGAGGGAAAGACCATGTTGAGATCACTGGGGAATGAGAAGTCAAACGCAGAAACGTATCCGTTCATCTGGCTTTGCAATCGGATCTTCTCCAGCTGAGCCACCCCGAGTCCTCTCTGGGGTTCCTTTGGTCTCTTCGAGCTGCTCTTCCTTCCCTTCCTCGAGCCACCCGAACTCCCACTTCCGAAGCCAAATCTAAAGCGTTTGCTCTCCATCTCTCCTCACCTTTCCACACCTACACCAAGCGGCTGCTCCAGGAAGAGGAAGAAAGGAGAGGAAGAAGAGAGGAGCAAAAGGAAGAGCAGACAGCGACGGAGAAATAAAATACTAAGCATTGAAAAAGATGGGTTGCCAACAGCCATTTAAAGGGTGTGCTGTTCCCTGAAAGCAGTGAATGCATTGCTGGTTTATATTTATGTGGATTTGGGGAGATCTTATTTGCTTTTGGCGTGCATTAATTGTGTGGTCAAGCAAGTATTTTATCCTGAGACAGTAGTAGCATGATCACCTAAAGAATGCTCGTATCCAAACCCAATCACAAGAAAGATGTACTTAAGTTTTCTTTAACATGTCTGTTCTAATGCAATAGTATTAGAAAAATGATGTACAAAACATTATAGTGAATTATTTCCTTCGTCGCTCCACGAAGCATGTCATGTGGAGAGAATCTCATCGTGGTTTGGGTTAGTCTCGAAATCTGATGCACGAACGACGAGGTCCGGGCGATATGGGGTTGACTTGATCCTGTTCCACCTGCCTTCTTCTAATGATCTAATCTTCTATCATCGGAACTGTTCTTTTAATGTCGATGGGAAATCTTATCAAGAATATATGTGTGTATAACATTCACATTTTGCATAAATTTATTTTCCTACTTATTTGTAGTTGAATAAATTCTCGAAAATAGTTTTTAAGTTTCAAAATTTCTCACGGAGCACTTCAAGTTTAAACAATTATTACGTGAAAAGATGATTTTACCCTCGTCATTTTAAAAATTCTACCTTAACCCTAATCGTATCTCCACCTATATCATCATTGGTTGTGTCTCTGCCTCATGCATGATCGCTTTGCCCGCTAACTCTCATCGTTGTTGTTGGCCACGAGGTTGAACCACTCCTCGCACCTTCCCTCGCCTTATGGCTAATGACAAGGAGTGTGAGGAGACAACATTGATGAGGTTTTAGCATGAGGAGGTTAGATAGCTCTCATCAGATCCCGTTAGACCCCTAACCTTCACCCTACGGAGGTGCTGTACAATATGCCCTTACTCGTGTGAGGACGACGAGGGTCATCGCTTGTGTCCTTGGCCACGGAGGTGCCACACAACACTACCTACACGTTTACTTAATTAAAAAGGTGTCTTGTGCTCTACCATGAGAAAAAGATAATTTTTGATGGGGCAAAAAATTAAGTTCATAAAAATTGGTATCTCCATCCATCCATGTTTATCACCGTTATGATCCTTTCCCACTTAAGCGTAGAGTTTGAGGTCGTATTCCCTCCTAGTGCATAAACAATTCACATAAACTCACTTGGATGGCTACGTTATGGTCCTCATTTGATCCATATCTAAAAGAATATTATATCTCACGAGACGTAATGGAAATATTAACAATGGCTTACGAGCTTGTCGAGCAAACAAGGCATCTTCCTCCGTTTGTATACACTAAAAGCTCATGTAGCACTTTGTAGAAAAGAATAAAAGAAAGGAGAATAAGCGTTTCTTTATTATTGTGGGACGAGGAATGATGGGAATAAGTGATGTTGCTCCCTCTCCAGCCTCGATCGATCTTGGAAGACCATATAATTAATGATCTTAGTGTCTCAATCCAATCGAATGGAACCATGTCGAGCTTATTCTAAACGGGATAAAAACCCTCTCGCATGCAAATGTCTACTACGTAACATACGACTCAATCGCATACCATTCGTCGTATGGGTGTTTTGGCCTTGTGAAGTTGTCCTGTCTTATCTTGCCAATGAAGAGACGTCTTTTGGAGTGGGAAAGGAGATCACAAATAATAATAATTTGCTCAACCTTTGCTGATCACTAACTTGTTGGACTACGATATGAGCATCCTAACGCGATACCATCAGATCATGCGATGGAGGGGGGGGCATGGGTGCACCTCGACCTCCTCCTCCTCTCTCGAGCCAGACTCGATGTTGTAGTTGAGTCAGTGCCACGAGTTCCTTACACCCGCGACATGCTACAACCTAATCTTTACCACGGTTCCCAAAATTTTGGATTT